CGCCACGCCAGCTGGCGCAGAGAGCGAGCGGAGGCTCCGTGAGACGCGCACTGCCCACAGCTCGGCGCGGCGGCGGGGCCTCCGAGAAGAGGGCCGATGCAGGAGCGGCAGGGGAGCCACGGAGCGCCGGCCGAGGCCGAGATCTGGCTGGCTGGGAGCGCCCGGAGGCCCAGCTGCTGGAGACGATCGCTCACGCTCGGGGCCTCGGTCGACCCGTTGACGCCGCGGAGCCCCCCAAGAGGGCTCGCCCAGCGAGGGCGGAAGGTCACGGCGACCACCCTCCGGGCGATCCCGGCGTGTGGGCTGGGAAGCCGGCGGGCCCAAAAACTCGCATGCTGGCGAAGCTGCGCTGAAGGGACGCGGTGATGCGTGAATTCGCCTCGAGGGCGGCTGGGCGAACGGAGAGACAGCAAGCGCTCGAGCTCGGACAGCACATCCTGCTCCAGCCCCATCGTGTGCTGAACCTCTGGCGCGGCAGGGGAAGCTGTCCAGCTGTCCTCGCCCTCGACGAAAGCCTGGCCTGAGCTGCCAACGACGTCACGTGCAGCAGGTCCACGCCACGCCAAGCTGCCGCGAGCATCCCGATGGAGCCGTCGGTCACTGCCGACACGAACTTGGCGGCGCTGGTGCTGACATTGGCCCTTACCGTCACGATTTTGTCTTCGGCCGAGCCCACCTCCTGGGCCACGTCGGTCATCACGACAAGGGTCCTCAAAGTGTTGGGGAAGTGTCGGCAGGAGGCTGAGGAGCATCCCGCCGAGGAGCACCTTGACCAGCAACCCTCCGGACGGCAGCCACTGCAACCATGCCAGGCTCGTGCCGATCTTTCCCGCAGGCGACTTGGCAGCCTTGCCCTCCCCCAAGAGCTTCGGCATTGGCAGCCGCGGCGGGGTCATGGGCTGCTGCGGCTGCTCGTGCCGTAGCGGCACTGGCGGCAATGCTCGGGGGCGGCCCATCCCCAGCCCAACCATAGCTGGCAGGGTGGCTGCCCGCGGCGCGTGCATCGGGGAGGCAGGTGGGCGCGCCGGCGAGGCCCCTGGGCTCGGCACGAAGTCCAGTGCTGCGATGGGGCAGCCCGTCGCGATGGGCTAACCCACCTTCTGGTCCGCCCCCGAAGGCGGCACCGACGAGCACTGCCCGGAAGAGGTCTTCGTCGCGCACGCTGGGGGGCTGGGGGGGCTACCGACCGCGACTGCGCCGGTGGGCCACCGACCGCAGCAGCCGGCAGCGGAGCGGCAGAGGAGCGGGCCCTCCCGCCGGCCTCGCCGCGCGAGGGAGTTCGTCCCCCTGGCGGCCCGCCGTGGGCGGCCTGGCGCGGAGCGCGGATGCAGGCGGCGCCTGGCAGTCGCAGAGCGAGGCGCCCACTCCGAGCGCGCGGGTGGGTGCGCGGACGCGCGCGCGCCCGCCCCCGAGTGCCAGGTCGGCCACGCGCAGAGGGCCAGAGGGTTCCAAAAGGGGGTGTTAATTAGGGGAGCTCCTCCTCCCTCCTCCTCCTCCTCCCCCTCCTCCTCTCCTCCTCCCTCCTCCTCCCTCCTCCCCCTACCCTCCTTCCTCCCTCCCTCCTCCTCCCTCTTCCTCCTCCTCCTCCCTCCTCCTCCTCCCTCCTCCTCCTCCTCCTCCTCCTCCCTCCTCCTCCTCCTCCCGGGGGTTTTCCAGAGAGCCCCCCCAGGGGCCTCGGAGAACCTCGTCAGAGTGGGGCCTGGGGGGCCCCTCCTGGGAAACCGCCTCCCCGAAAACACGCCTTTTGGGACCCCCCTGGGAGGGGGGCAGGAGGAGGGAGGCAGGCTGCTCAGAAGCACTCCTCCTCCCTGGGAAGGCGCGGGCCTTGCCTGTAGATGCAGGGCCAGCGCCCCCTCAGAGGCGGCCTCCTTCTGAGAAGGCTTTCCCCCTGCCCCTGCCCCCCTCTGCGCGCCGCCAACATTCAGTCGGGCGTGTCCCTCTACAGGAGGAAGAGTCAAAGATAGTCAAAAAAATAGCCCGGGGACGATTTTTGGACCTTTTTCGAACATCTTTCGAACATTTGTTCTCGGACTATGTTTGATGTTTCGCCCCCCCCCCCCCCCGTGCAGGGGGACGTGCCCGACCTAGCGCCAGCAGGTGGCGCCCTGCAGCCACAGATCGCGGCGCCCAACCCGAGCATGCCCGTGGATGCGCGGGGGCCGCGCGCCCGCGCTCCGCCGCGGCCCTGGCCCCTGCGCACGAGGTCGGTCTGCGCAGGCACAGGGCACCCGCAGGAGGGCCGTCCGCCCCAGTGGCGAAGCGCCCCGGCTCGCCTGTCGGCCCCCCGCAAGGAATGTTTTGGGAACCTTATCGTGGTCTGCACGAGATGTTCTTAGAGCATTTCTGGCTGGGTCTGGCTTTTTTTTCACCTCGGGTCGACGTTCTAAGAATATTGCTTTTAGTTATGATAACACTGCTGGGTTCTAAGAACATCTCGTGGTAGGCCTATAGGAATGCCGGGACGGTCGGTCCCTGCTCAATACACCGAGGGCGGGGCAGCTGGGGCTACGACCAGTGCCCATCGGTCGTTGAAAATATGCGTTTTTGGAGGCCCAGGTGCCAATCTATGTTAGGCGCCTTCCTACTTCAAGGCTCGAGCGGGTTTTCCTCGTCCCTCCTCGTCAATGGTCGAGTGGCTTCACCTCTTCCGTCCTCCTTAGGGAGGGCGGGCGGACCCCCGATCTGCTTCCAACGCCTTCCCACTTCGTGTTTCTGTCGATCAGGAGGGGAAAAAACACAGACAAATCGTCGATTCCTCAGAACATATGGAAAATATGGGAAGTTGGGGGGAAGACGAAACTCAAAAAAACATAAGCATATGGGGAATCCTGGGATTTGTGTGTATTGGTTTGTGTGTCCCTGGGCCCCCTCAGTCTACTTCTTCCGACCGATGGGTGCCGAGGGTCGGGCAGTTGGGGCTACGACCAGTATGGTGACCAGGGAGGGTGGGGCTCGCGCCAGGTGAGGGCCGGAGAGACGCCCCCAGCCTCGGCAACGATCGTTCTGGAACGTCGAGCATTGGTGCGCGGGCACGGCCGTCGGCGCCTGCGCCGACGAGAGCCGCGCGGCGCTGCAGGCCGCGCGCGCCTGCAGCGCGAACGGCCCGCGTCGAGCAGACTCGCAGGGTGGCTGGGGCGTCGATCGCACACGCCCAGCGGTGCTCTGAGGGCGAGGGGAAGGGCCTTGGAGCCTCTCACTCGTACCCATGGCCACCCCCCGCGCAGCGCTGGCCCCACGCAGGAGCGTTTAGATCAATTGCGCCCTCCTGAGGGTACTTGGTTCAATGGTATATTCTCTTGGGCCTCACCTGAACCAACTTCTTTGTTCGTCTGAGCTTTCGGGCGCGCTCCCGCTCGCAACTTCCTGCGTGATACATCTATATATATATATATACATTTATGTTGCATAATTTAGTTATGCCAAGTGTTTATCACGCCTTTGTTAGCTAATGTCTCGGGGATGGGCCGCCTTGGGGTCACGCCTCACGAATGCGTGCCGCCGGAGAAAACGACCCATTTCAGCCAAAAGGGGTCGTTTTTCGCAGGGTCCCGCGGCATTGCATTTTCGTGTCGACTTGTATGTCCGTGACCTCGATGGCTCAAGCGAGCGCACGGTTCCGATGTTGAACCGTGTGACCGATTGGCTTGGAGCGGGCGTCATCTCTTACCTCAGTCGGTGCCCCGCCGCGCCCTCCTGTCCAGAGTGCCCGCCGTATACCTGCCAGCTGACGTGCCCGGCGGTGCCAAGCTGCCCGGCGTGCCCAGGGGCGCCTACGCCAGTGCAGGCGTCGTGCCCTGAGCCTCCGGCCTGCCCGACGCTCGAGGCGCCGGCTGCCCCGGGGCGTCTCTGGGACCTCCTTGCAGGCGCGGTCGTATCCATCGCGGCCTCGGGCATCCTCGTCGTGATCGGCTGGTGCGGCTCCTTGACCGTCAGGACCACTCGCCGCCATGGCGTCCGGAGCCGTCCAGCTCTGGGCATGGATCCTGCACAACGGGGACCAAGGATGGCAGCAGCGACGGGTCCTGGGCCACTTGCAGCCGCCGGGAGCGAATCCAGTCAATGACTTTCTGATCGTGTGCGCGACGCCGGATGCCGACGTCTACTTCGAGCTGGTGGACGGCACGAGCCCCGACTACCAGGCTGTGAGGTTCTCGCCGGATCGTCGGACCATCCCTCCAGGGATTGCACGCGGTCAGACCTACCGCTTCAGGAGGGAGCCGACCGCGGCGGAGCTCGCCGCGTTCATGGGCCAGGCCCGTCAGGCCGCCGACGACCTGTACATCCAGCAGGCAGCGGCTGCCGGGCTGCCAGCGGTGGCTCCGCTGGGCGGCGCCTTCGTCCCGTTCGTGCCGCCGGCCAGCGCCCGCCGGCGGCCAGCCCGCCGCCGCGGCAGGCCCGGCCGGGGCCGCCCCGCTGGCGGGCGGAGCCGCGCCTGCCGCGGCCGGGGCGCAGTGGGTGACAGTGGAGTCGACCACCTTTGCCTCCAGGGGGACCCCGGTCGTCCTGTCGGCGACGGACGTCGTGAAAGGCGAGGTGGGCATCTTCACCACGCCCGCAGGCGTCGCCGTGCTGGTCCGCGACCTGCAGGCGCACCCCGTGGAGGAGTACATGGTGATGGAGAGCCACCACGACCTCAGGATCAGCAAGGCGACGGTCATCGCCTCCAAGGATCGAGCGAGAAGCCGCTTCACCAGCTCGGACGTACAGCTTCGAGAGTCGCCGTTCCCCGATTGGCCCGTGCCTGGGCCGAGGACGGTGAAGTGGTGCTGCGTGTGGCTCTTCAGGCGCCAAGGGGGGCCGCTCGAGCATCACCGATCGCTCGTCATGACTTTCGGATTGCGGTCCGAGGACTGGGGCGTCGAGGTTCACCGCGCGGCCACGAGGTGCCTCGACAAGGGGTTCTGCTACGACGTGGTGGACGTCAGCAACAGCGCCACCATCGAGCTGTTGCTCAGGAAGGCGCAATTGGTAGAGTACGTGTACCACATGGACTTCCTTGCCACGCGTGGGCCCAACACCATGGGCAAGGGCAAGGGCGGCGCGGCCTCCCTCCAGCACGCCGTCTTCGACGAAGGCGCCATCTTCTCAGGGGTGACCAAGGACTCAGGCATGGCGATGGTCTGCCCAGACCTGATCGCCCATGTGGCGGCTGAGGTCGAGCGCGACGCCGCCATCCTCAAGCAGGTCCGCAAGGCCCGAGAGGAGAGGGCGGAGCTGGCCAAGCAGGGCAAGAAGGGGAAGGAGGAGTCGGGGTGATGTTCGCCCCTCCGGGGCTGGAGAGACCTCCCAGCCAGCCCCGGCACGAACGTGACCTTCGGGGAGGGCCTCCTGGACTGGCGACCGGGGGGCAGCCTGCTCTCAGCCATCCTTTTTGGGCAGACGAGCGACAGCGGAACTTGCTGCCTCTTCCTCGTCCCCATACAGTTTTGCATCGAGGCTTTAGTGGAGCTGCTGTACATCTTGGCAGGTCTACTCGTCGTCGGCTACAGCGCACTAACCACGTCGATATGGTGTGCGATGAATTTGCCGGCACGTTGAACGATTTGTACCTTGGCTCATCTTGTCCACGGATGAATCGTGGCCCTTCGGCGAGTCAGCAGGCCAGTCTCAACTCGATTCGCCAGTCTGTCTTGTCCATGGGCCCGCCGCCGGGCGACATGAGCGGCCCAGGAGCCCTGCAAGCGCTCCGGGCTAAGAGTGCTTACGGCGAAGGCGCCGTGATCGCTCCCCTCAGCATGGACACCGCCCACCTGATCGACTTGCCGGCTGCTGGGTCGGTCTCGCGTTCTCTTGAGCATCTGGCTGGAGATCGGGGCAAAGAGATTGCTGAGTGACTAATTCAATTGCGCTTGCCAGAATCCACTGGCAGGGAGATAGCTAAACTTCAGGGGCCCGCTCGGCCTTACTCCGACCCCGCCCTCAAGCGGTCGCCCGCCCTGTACGCGGAGCTGCTGCGCAGGATGGCCGACTGTGACCTGATCGAGTGGCGTCTGACGGGCGAGGTCTCTTGCGGCCTGTTCTTCGCATATACTAAGTCAGGAAGATATCGTTTGATTGTCGATGGTCGGCTACCATCGTGCCATTTTCGCGACAGTGACCCTGTCTCGCTGGCCTCTGGGGCCGCCTTTTCCGCCATCGAGGTTGACAGCGCTGCGCCCATCCAGGTCGGCTCGGTCGATATCGTAAACGCTTTCTACAACGTGCAGTTACCAGAGGCCCTTCGAGGCATGTTCGTTTTTCCTAGGATCCGCGCCGACCTGGTGAATGTCTCGTCAGCCCATGGCCGGGCTATCAGACGAGGCCAATACCTCTTCCCAGTCCTGAAGGTGATCCCGATGGGTTGGAAGCTTTCTCTTTGGGCGTGTCAGCAGGTGCTGGAGCATCGGGCCCGGCTGGTGCCTGGCGTCTCAGAAAAGAACGCTGTCGTCGATCACCTTCCTCCTCCCAGCCTGGAGCCCTTCACGCACGGAGTATGTCGACAGCTTTTTCGCCTTCGGGAAGGATCGAGAAGTCGTCGGAGGGGTGGCGGAAGCGGTTCAGCAGGAGTTGAGCGGGGTCGACCTTCCCACTCATCCAGTTGAGGCTGGTCCCGGCACCACTGCACTAGGCTGGACTTTCTCGGACGAGAATGCTACTGTCGGGTTGAGCCCCCGGGTCGCCTGGAGGATCAGATTGCCCATTCAGCATATTCTCATTGAGGGGTACGCAAGTGGGGGCACTCTAACTGTCATTATGTCGCACTACACGACTCGTGCACTTGTACGCCGTGAATTGTTATGCGTGTTTATGCATGTTACTCCTTCGCAGCTGACGCTGGACCCCGTCGCCGCCGGCTGTGGGCTTCTGTTCGCCGTGAGCTTGGCTGGGCCGCTGGGCTTATACTTCTCGCTTCTCGGGATCTCGGGGCTGCCTGGTCTGAAGATGTCCTCGCCGTCGACGCGTCGTCCTGGGGAGGTTGCATCGTGCAGCAGAGAGTGCCGGTCGACGTCGTCATGTCGCTCGGTCGATTCAACGAGAGGTGGAGGTTTTCTCGACAAGACGAGCTGGGTTATCGACCTCGGGACCACGCTCTTGCTCTGGCTACTCTTGGCGGTTTTGCTATAGACGGTCCTGCTCCTGAGGTCCCCGAGGGTGCGCTCGACATCGGCTCGGACGTGTGGGATGGCGAGTGGCGCCGTGTCTTAGCTAAGAGATGGGCCCGGTCAGAGGCCCAGGTGATCCTCGAGGGCCGCAGCATGGTCTTGGCCCACCTCCACAAGACGCGGTCCCTGGCCAACTTCGGGAAGCGCCACTTGTTCTTGGGAGACGCCATGGCTAGCATCCTTGCCGTATCCAAGGGTCGATCATCCTCGAAGCTGATGAGAGTCTGCCGGCAGATTGGCGGCCTTAACCTGGCCTTCAACATGACCTCTCGGTGGCGCTGGCTCCCCTCAGAGCGCAACCCCGCTGACCGCGGCTCGAGACTCAAAAGGGGGGACTGGGCTGAGGCCTCGACCCGGCCCCGCGAAGCCGACCCGCCGCCGGCCGCGCTGCCGGCGCCGAGGCATGCTCCGCTGGGCGGGGACTCCTACGGCCAGCGAGACCGCCGCGTCCGCGCCTTTGCAGCCAGCCTTGGCCGGGCCTTCGGCGTCGACTTCGGCCCCTCTGATGAGCTCGCCGCCCCCTCTGGTGACCGCGCTCTCGGCTCGCCGGAGGTGCCGCGAGAGGCCTGCAGCGGGCCGCCCGCCGCCCTCCCGCGGGATCGAGCCGAACCTGCGAGCCGACCGAGCAGTCCGGCGCCGCAGGGTCTACGGCGGGGAGCCCGCGACCGACGAGCACGGCCTGACCCTGCTCGAGAGGCGCACCGTGAAGAAGCCTCAGGAGAACCGGTACAAGCACATCGTGAGCCAGTTCTACCTTTGGTGCGCGACGGCCAACATGGCGATCAGCAACACCACGCAGCTCGACTCGGCGGTGACGGCCTACCTCCACGAGCAGCTCTTCGAGGGCTTCCCGAGCTCCGCGGGCACCTTCCTGCTGGCCGCCCTGACGTACTGCCGGCAGGACCTGTCGCCGAAGGCGCCAGAGCTGCCGCGGGCGAGGCGGGCCCTCCTGGGCTTCTCGAGGGCGGCGCCCAACCGGTCGCGCTGGCCCTTCCCGTGGCCCTTCGTGGCGCTGATAGCGGACGCGCTGATCGGCCAGGGCCACTGGGCGGCGGCTGCGGCGACGCTCCTGTGCTTCGTGTTCTACACCCGGCCGTCGGAGCTTCTCCGCCTGCGGGTGAAGGACGCCGTCCCGCCGCCGCGGGGAGGGCCCAGAGCCCTCGCCCTTTAGACCCCGCTGCTGAATGCGTCGGAGAACAGCACCCCGTCCGAAACAGGCGAGTTCGACGAGTCGCCGAGCCACGACAACACTGAGTTCTGGTGGGTGGGGGGCCTCCTGACCCGCCTCCGAGCCGGCCGCAGCGCAACGCAGCCGCTGCTCGGCCTGACGCACGCGACCTGGGCCGCCCTGTTCCCCCGGGCCGCGGTAGACGCGGGCCTCGGCGGCCTTGGACCGCCCACGCTGTATCAGCTCCGCCACGGGGGGGCCAGCCACGAGCTGGCCACCCGCGCCCGCCCGCTCGCCGAGATCAAGAAGCGGGGGCGGTGGGCGGCGGACAGCAGCGTGCGCCGCTACGAGAAGAGCGGACTCCTGCCCACGCAGCTGCAGCGGGCGTCGGAGGCCGTCCAGCGCCGGGCCTACGCCGCTGCGGCCAGCATCGGCTCGAACATCTTGAGGATGCCGTCCGGCGTGCTGCGCTGAGCGGGCGACAGATTGCTCTGGAACTTTTCTCAGGCGCAGGGCGCTTTGCTCGTGCCTGGCGCCGCTCTGCCGCCCTGAAGCACATCGAGATAATTGAAGTTGACATTCGGCACGGTGCTCACTTCGATCTGTTGAATGAGAGCCTCGTTCGCAAAATTCGAGGTTGGGCGCGCGCTGGTCTGATAGCTGCTGTCTGGCTGGCTCCTCCCTGCTCCTCCTTCTCGGCCCTCCGGTGCCTCTTCTCGCCTGTTCGGTCCCGGGCCTTTCCTCTCGGCCTTCCTTCCCTCTCCCCATCAGACCAGCGCGTCGTCAACGTAGCTAATCGCTTGTGTAAAGTTGCCTCCAGCCTCCTCGACCTTTGCAGGAGGTTAGGCATCCCTTGCGTCGTCGAGAATCCCCACACTAGCCTTCTGTGGAATGTGAAAGCGTTCGAGAGCCTGGCCAGGACCCAGGATATCGATACTTGCGTCACTGACTACTGCGCCTGGGGGGCCCCCTGGCGCAAGCGCACCAGGTTTCTTTGTGCTCACCTCTCGTGCAGGCACCTCTGTGTAACCTGTTGCGGCCGAGGCGTATGCTCTTTCTCAGGCAAGCGGCACGTAGAAATCATTGGCAACCATCCCTGTGGCATTAAATCTAGCAAGCTCGCAGAGCCCAACCCCTCACGGCTCTGCTCCGCGTTTGTGCGCTGTTTTGCTGACAAGATCCTTCGCCCGCTCTCTAAACCATTCGGATAATTATAATCCAGGCCTTCGGCCAGAGTGTGCTTTGGAGCAAATTCGGAGAGGTCGAGCGGCCGTGCTTGAGGTTTCCCAAGGCGGCCTCTGGCTTTTCTGTGTCCCGGCTGCCGGGCGAACTGCTACTGGATCGGCGTCTTAGCACCCACCTGGCCTCGAGAAAAATGGAGCTCACATGCCAAGTGTTTATCACGCCTTTGTTAGCTAATGTCTCGGGGATGGGCCGCCTTGGGGTCACGCCTCACGAATGCGTGCCGCCGGAGAAAACGACCCATTTCAGCCAAAAGGGGTCGTTTTTCGCAGGGTCCCGCGGCATTGCATTTTCGTGTCGACTTGTATGTCCGTGACCTCGATGGCTCAAGCGCCCCCCCTTTAAGTTCCCTCCCTGCGGATCTGCACAGAGGTCTCGGAGAGGTCGAGCGGCCGTGCTTGAGGTTTCCCAAGGCGGCCTCTGGCTTTTCTGTGTCCCGGTTGCCGGGCGAACTGCTACTGGATCGGCGTCTTAGCACCCACCTGGCCTCGAAAAAAATGGAGCTCACATATATATATATATATATATATATTGTTTATTTCTCTCTTTCTCTCTCTCTCTCTCTCTCTCTCTCTCTCTCTCTATATATATATATATATCTATGTATGTGGTACATTGGTTTTAGATCGAGTTGTTTTGTTTTGCTTGGTGTCTAAACTTTTCCCGAGGGGGGTAATTGTTTAAACTGCTTCGGCCCTCTCTCGGAAGGGGGCCCCGGGCGGGTCGCAGGGGGCCGAGGGCCGCGGCCCGCCTTTGCCCGAGGCCCCCCCCGCGATTCGGCACTCACCGCGCGCACGACCGCGGCACGTCGACGAGCGCGCGCCAGCAAAGGCTTGGCAGCCGGCTATTGGCTGCAGTGCCACGCGGTCTCGGTCCCCGTCCGAGCGGAGATGTTCTTCGGCGTGGGAGTGGGCGCCGCTTGAAGCGTAAGATCCATCTGAAGTATATCGCGTGGGGGGGTGACTGGGTTCTTGCCCTCGCTGGGATAATTTTGCGCTCTCGCTGGGGCCACACGGCGCGTTTGCCCCCCTCCCTGCTCTGCCTGCATTGGGGTTTCCTCCGTCCTTGTATTCTTGGGTGGGGTCCGGGGGTGAACTAGTGCTCTTAGGCGGTGTGCGTGTGCGTGTGTGTGTGTGTGTGTGTGTGTGTGTGTGCGTGTGTGTGTGCGTGTGTGTGTGTGTGTGTGCGTGTGTGTGTGAGAGAGAGTGTGAGAGCGTGTGAGAGTGAGAGTGTGCGTGTGCACGCGCGCGTGTGTGTGTGTGACGTTACCGCGGTTTATTTTGAGCGCTCTCCCCGCTGAAGGTTCTGGGAAGTGTCTGGGTCCGTCTGGGCCCTCTCCCCGCTCCGCTCTTTCTTGTCCTCCCCCCCGTCCGAGGATCGAGGGTCGGAGAGGAAACCGCCGCCGCCGATAACATGTCGGCTCGCGTGGCCGAAGGCAAAGCGGCGCGCGCCCGCGCGCTCCTCCTCGCTTGCTGCGCTTGCTGCCGCACGCGAGAATCATCGGCCCGCCCGGTCTCGTCGTCGCGGCTGACCTCGAGCTCGAAGTGCCCAAGGGGAGCTCGGCCGCCCTCAGAGGCGAGCCGAGGCCTGCAGGAGCTGGGGCCTCGGACTTCGGCCCGAGGGCCGAAAACAGCCCCGCGCGCCGACGGAGGCCGCCGAAGGCCGCCCGAGGAGGCCGCCGAGGAGGCCGGCCGAGCCCCGCCGGCAGGAGGCCCGGCGCGCCGAGCGCCGGGACGCGTCGCTGCTGCAGCACTGGGCCGCGGCCGCGCCCCCGGCGCAGGCGCGCGGGCGGCCGCGGTGTTGCCTCCAGGGGCCATCGGCATCGTTGGGCCGAGCCCCGTCCCCATCTCCATCCCCTTCGATCGGGTGTATAGCCAGGGCCCCAGGTAGAAGGGGACCTGGTCAGTGGTAGGGCCCTGGAGCCCCCCAAGAATTGGCCAGGATCACTAAACCAGGTCTGCCGTAGCGGGTGTTTTTTCGGGTGATGGCAGTTCCGGTTAGAGGAACGGGGCCGGAGGGCGTCCCCCGGTACACATCACTAAACCAGGTCCCACTAAACTAACCCAGTTCTGCCAACGCCCGATTCGAGACCCCCACCAAATTACCGCCCCAGTTGGGGAGACACCCCTCGAGACCCGAAGAGAACAACCCGTATCCCCATCGAGAGGGTAAATCGGCGGGGCCCAGGCCACGCCGCTGGGGATGGGGATCGGTGAAAAGATAATTATTCGAACCAGAGAAGTTGCATGAACGTCAGAGTGGCGGGGCCGAGCGCGCAAGGTGCGCACCAGACCTCTGCGCGCAGGTGTTTTTAGAGCAGCTCCTCGGCCAGTCCTCTTCTTCCCTTTCGCCGGGTTCTTTACCCCTTCCCCCTCAGCCATCCTGCCGCCACAACGAGCCAAACTGGCCAGGGTGAGGGGGCCGCACGGTCATTCACTGTCCACGGGCAGTTGGCTGAGCTGAGGTTCTGCGGTGCGGATTGTTGTTGCGTCGTTGCTATGTTGTTGTTATTGTTGTTGAACTCTCACTTCTGAAGAATAATTATTGTTGATCCCCCCTCACCGGTGCATACTCCCTTTTCTCAATCAAAGTGTGCATCTCGACGCTCGCACCCTGTTTTTTGACAGGGAAAGTCTTCCTGCTCAAACTGGGCCCCTGGCCCCCCGGATTACATCAACAACGGCTCCCGCCTGAGAGTTCCTTCAAATTTACTCAGGACCCCCGCTCCTGAGACTTCCTCACAATTTACTCAGGATCGGTGCTCCCGCTTGTGACTTCCTCGCAATTTAGTCAGGACCCCCGCTCCCGCTTGAGACTTCCTCACAATTTACTCAGGAAGGGCGCTCCCGCTGAGACTTCCTCGCAATTGAATCAAGACTTCCTCGCACTTTAATCAAGACGCCCGCTCCCGCCAGAGAACCCTTCACATTTGATTCAGGAATTGCGCTTTCGCCTGTGACTTCCATGCGTTTGTTTCAGAAATCGCGCTTTCGACGCTCAGGAAACACGCTGCGCCAAGGGCGGCGTTACAATTTACTTAGTAATCGCGCTCTCGCCATACTCAGGCATCCCGCTTGAATGTCCACCCGCTCGACCCGCCCGCCAGGGGATCGCCCGGCGCTTTCGCGTAGGACTTCCTCGAACGTTCACGCTCTTACCTTGCTCCTCCTCCTCCCTCTCCCTCCTCCCTCCTCCCTCCTCTCCTCCCTTCTCTCTCCCTCCTCTCTTCCCTCATCCTTATGCCTCTCTGCCCTATCCCCTCTCCCTCCTCTCCCTCCTCCCTTCTCCCTCCCCTCTCCTGCCTCCTCCCTCCGTCTTTCTTTCTTTTTGTCGTTTCTCTCTCTCTCTCTCTCTCCTCTCTCTCTCTCTCTACCTCTCTGATCTGTCTTTCTCTCTCTCTCTTTCTCTCTTTCTCTCTCTTTCTCTCTCTCTCTCTCTTTCTCTCTCTCTCTCTCTCTCTGCCTCTAATCAACCGCTGCCTCTAATCAACCGCCCCCCTCTTCGCTCCTTCTCTCCTGGCGTTTGCCCTCTACCTGCGCCCCTCCCACTCTTCCTCGTTCTTCCCCCTCCTCTTTTTGCAGGGCCCACACCAAGTCCAATGGCGGGCACATGTACGCCCACGAAGGATTGTTCGCCCGTTCAGGTTTGCCCGCCTGTCTAAGCCCGCCGCCCCCCGCAAAGAGAAAGAATTCCCCCCAAGGGGGTGTGATCGAAGACAGAAAGGGCGGGTATCGAGGGTGTGGGGAACTCGTTTTGAATGACACACGGACAAGTAAGAGCGAACAGTCTTAGAATGATTCTTGTTGCTGTTGTTGACGAGGACGTGATTCTGGTACCCCCGGGAGGAGTTGCGGGGGGGGCTCGCAACCGCAAGCGCGCAACGCTCGAGCGGGAGCGCCGGGGGGGGATGGGGGGGGGGGGCGCAACGTGGCGGAGGGAAGCACAACAAACGGCGTATTTGGGCGGGGGAAGGAGGGCGCAACAAGGGGGAGGGGCAGGCGCATGCCATTTTACCCTTCGGGGCGCACTGTGCACGCTCCCTGCATGCGTTCTGGGGGCGCTCCCTATGCGCCCTGGGCACGCTCCATGGAGCGCATGTGGATCGTGCCGGGGGAGGCGCTGGGGGCGTACTGGGAGCGCTCCCTGGGGTGCATTGGGATCGCGCTGGGGGGGGCGCTGGGGTCACACTGGGGGCGCTCCTTGGGGTGCAGTGATAGCGCCCTTCAGGGTGCCATATGCCATGTGCCTTCATCAGGGGTGCAGTGGGAGCGCCTTGGGGACGCTCCCTGTGGCCGCCCTGGGAGCGCTGGAGCGCACTGGGAGCGCTCCCTGGGGACGTCGTAGAAGTGCCCTGGCAGCGCTGTGGGCACGTTTCCTGGGAGCTCACTGGGAGCGTTCTGAAAGCGCCCTGAGAGCGCTCCCTCGAGTGCGCCATGCTGGAGCGCACTGGGGGCTCACTGGGATCGCGCTGGGTGCGTTCCGTGGAGCGGGGGCGCTCCTGGGCACGTTTCCTGGGGATTCACTGGGGGCGCCCTGCGAACGCTCCTTGCGAACGCTCCCCGTGCACCGTGGGCACGTTCCCTGGGGCGCCCTGGGGCACCACTTCGGGCGCCCTGGGGGCGCGCGGAAGGGCGCCCTCGGGGCGCTCCCTGGCCTTGCGATCGTTCCCTGCGTGCCCTGCGCGCGCCTCCTGGAGCGCACCAGCAGTTCACTGTGTGTCCCCCGCAGACCCTTCTGTGGGCGCCGCGGGGGCGCTCCTTGGCGCGCCCTGAGGGCGCCCCCCCTGGGTGGGGCGTCCTGGGGGCGCCCTGGGTGCGCCCTATACGAGCGCAATGCGGCGCATTCGGATCGCGCTGGGTGCACTCCTCTGACGCTTCGCGTAGCCCCACCAATTAGGTCCAATTCACGTACCTGGCGATCCAGCTTCTATGGTACCCGCACGTTTGCAGCTTCCTGGCAGCCCCAGCAACTCGCAGTCCCTACCCTTCGCGCTGGTTCTCAGCCTCGGCGGTTGCAGCACGGCCCCCAGCGCAGCTGCTTCGCCCGGCGGTAGGTCCTGTTTTCTTTTGCGCTCACGCCGGCAATTAGGTTCGCTCGTAGGCCGAGCCTACTCGACCCGCCGCTGGCGCCTTCGTCTGCGGCTGTAACCAGCAAGGTAGCCCCACCAGTTTACTTCGCTGTAGTTTTCTTCGCTACGGCGCGGCCCGCCCTAGCGTGCTCGGCGTTCGACTTGCTTCGCGCGCCCGCATACCAAACAAGTAACCCCACCATCCAGAGACGATGCCCCGAGGATTTGCCTCGATCAGGGGAGTGGGCAGCACGCACATGAAGAGTCCCTCTTAGAGCGCTCTTGGGACACTCTTGGGCGCTCTTTGGGGCCGTCTTGGGGCTCTGTTGGGCCTCTCTTGCGTCTTGGGGGCTTTTTGCCGGTCCCAGGGGCCTCTTGGAGCGTTTCGGGGAGCCTCTTGTGGCCTTTTGGGGGTCTCCTGGCAGCCTCTTGGAGGCCTATTGGGCGCCTCTTGGGGCCTCCTGGGCGCCTCTTGGGCCTCTTGAGGCGCTTTTGGGAGCCTTGGGAGCGCTCTTGGGGCCAGGTAAGGTCGCTATGCCATCTCGCGTAAAACCCGCCTCTTCTCGTTTCGTTGATGCTGCTGCTGGTGATGCTGATGGTGATGGTGATGATGATGATGCTGGTAATGATGATCTTGTTGATGGTGCTACTGCTGATGGTGGTGGTGATGATGAGGGTGAGGATGAGGATTCGGAGGAGGAGGATGGCGGTCGAACCGTGTGAGGCGGCATTCGGTGGCGCCTGCCGTACCACGTAAGGTCGCTATGCCATCTCGCGTAAGACCCGCCTCTTTTCGTTAATGCTGCTGCTGGTGATGCTGATGTTGATAGTGATGATGTTGATGCTGGTAATTCTGATGTTGTTGATGGTAATGATGCTGATGATGGTGGTGGTGATGAGGGTGAGGATGAGGACTCGGAGGAGGTGGAGCATGGCGGTCAAATCCCGTGAGGCGGCAATCGGCGGCGCCTGCCGTGCCACGTAAGGTCGTTATGCCATCTCGCGTAAGACCCTGCTCTTTTCGTTGATGATGATGTTGATGATCATGGTGATGATGATTATGATGATGATGATGATGATGATGATGATGATGATGATGATGATGATGGTGGTGGTGGTGGTGGTGGTGGTGATGTTGGTTGATGATTTTGTTGACGGTGCTGATGTTGAAGGTGGTTGTGATGACGAGGGTGAGGATGAGGATTCGGAGGAGGAGGATGGCGGTCGAACCCTGTGAGGCGGCACTCGGTGGCGCCTGCCGTGCCACGTAAGGTCGCTATGCCATCTCGCGTAAGACCCGCCTCTTTTCGTTGATGCTGCTGCTGGTGATGCTGATGTTGATGGCGATGATGTTGATGTTTTAATGATGATGTTGTTGATGGTGCTGATGCTGCTGGTGGTGGTGATGAGGGTGAGGATGAGGATTCGGAGGAGGTGGAGCATGGCGGTCAAACCCCGTGAGGCGGCTCTCGGTGGCGCTTGCCGTGCCACGTAAGGTCGCTATGCCATCTCGCGTAAGACCCTGCTCTTTTCGTTGATGGTGATGATGTTGGTGATGTTGATGATGGTGGTGGTGATGATGATGATAATGATGATGATGCTGGTATTGATGATTATGTTGGCGGTGCTGATGTTGAAGGTGGTTGTGATGACGAGGGTGAGGATGAGGATTCGGAGGAGGATAATGGTGGTCGAACCCCGTGAGGCGGCAA